CACTTACTAATTTTATTTATTTTGGCTAGAATAGGGTTGCATGGCTAGGTCTAGCTACAAAGAAGGCTGGGAAATAGAATATCTTTTTTTTTTAATTGCTAGATAGATTGCTCTGCACAACAAAACAAAGGTCTTTCTGTTTGAAAAGAGGAAAGGAGAAAGGGTATTCTGTAAACACCTAACATTGCTGCTGTACTTAAGAGATCATTTAATGCAATGTCCACCCTTTTTTTCTTCCACCCTTCCTCATTTTATGTTGGGAATTGTAGATCAAGTGACTTACTCAGTATCATACAGCCAGTTCATGGCAAATCTGGAACCAAAATTTGGAAATATGATCCCTTAACACAGTGGTGCTCTTCCCAGTGTGTATGCCACTATTCTCTTATTTCATAAACTCTGCACAGAGCCCACCCAGTTATACGGATGCCATTTTTCTTCTCCTCACTCCCTCAACTCTGTCTCCAAACTCAGGTCTGTATTTAGCCATATGCTTGCCTCATTCAGCCTCAAGAGTAACATTGTTTGGCTGCAGCTGGAAAATGAACAATGTCCACATCAGCCGGCTGCGTTGACTTTCCAAAATAGCGAAGACTTTAACTAAAGGGTTAAGATTTATGAACTGCAAACAAAGATTAACTGCTGAGGAGAAATTTGAAAGGAAACACAGAATACAATAGAATATTCTTTGACCTAAACTACAGAAAAGAGGATATGACTAAATTTCATTTACCTTAAAATCCCCCTCTCTGTCTCCTACCCTCTGCTATGTCTATCTTTTGCAATGTCACTTGGATTCCTGTGCTATCTTAGAATTTACTAGAGTAGGGATGCCTCGGTGGCATTAGTCAGCTAAATGTCTGACTCTTGGTTTTGGCTCAGGTCATGATCTCATGGTCTGTGAGTTCAAGCCCCGCATTAGGCTCTACACTGACAGTGCGCAACCTGCTTGGGATTCTTTCTTTTCCTCTCTCTACCCCTTCCCCACTCTCTCTCTCAAAAATAAATAAATAAACTTAAAGAAAAAGAATTTCCTAGAGTCATGGCTGTTTAGTTACACCTAACATGTCTGACCTACCAACTGTTACAGAACAGTAGCCCATGGAAACCTCCATCTGAGGCAGCAATAACACCATGCCAGGTAATAATTCAGACACAAAGACAGGCCGAAGTTCACCCAGTCTGGGAGTGGTCACTCAGTCTGCCCCCCACTCTGCTTTTCTTTGTTCTACATTATGTTTACTTTTATATCAAAGGCTTCTATGTGGGATCCTGGGTATTCAGAAAGTGCAAACACTGAACTATTTTATTTTATTTTTTAATTTTTTAAATGTTTTATTTATGTCTGCAAGAAAGAGAGAAAGAAAGACAGACAGACAGACAGAGTATGAGATGGGGGAGGGGCAGAGAGAAAGGGAGACGCAGAATCCACAAAGCAGACTCCAGGCTCCAAGCTGTCAGCACAGATCCTGACACAGGGCTGCAACCCATGAACCACAAGATCGTGACCTGAACCGAAGCTGGACACTTAACTGACTGAACATTTTAAAAGATTACCATGCTCTATTGCTGTCCATTTGTTTCAGAAGCTTTGAAGTCAGAACAAGCTTCCGTATTATTACAGTAAACTTTTTCTAAGCTGCAGCTATGAAGATAATTAGAACAAATGAGATGTAGATTTCAGTACAGGATTAGGAAGACGCTTCTGACAATGAGCTAGACTATGCCACTTGAGGTCAGGGATTTGCATTCTCAGGGTGGCACTTTGCACGTTCTAGGTATTAATACTTTTCCACTTTGAAGATGCATTCAAAAATGCTTAGGACCACATTATGAATTAATTGTTCTGCCTCTGAGCAGGAGTTTGAAGTAGACAAGCTCGGAGGTGCTATCTCAAGAAAGATTCCATGATTTGATCATTAAAATGTAGATTATCAGGGGCGCCTGGGTGGCTCAATTGGTTGAGCGTCAGACTTTGGCCTACGTCATGATTTCCCTGTTCCTGCATTCGAGCCCCGCATAGGGCTCTGTGCTGACAGCTCAGAGCCTGGAGCGTGTTTCAGATTCTGTGTCTCCTCTCTCTTTGCCTTTCCCCCACTCGCACTTTGTCTCTCTTTCTCTCTCAAAAATAAAAATAAAACATTAAAAAAAAATTTAATGTAGATTGTCAGCATATGCATTCCTTAAAAATGGCTTTCTTTTTTTACTGATCAGATAAATCCTTTTCCTGCCTTATCTGATGGCCTTTCTTCTTATAATTCTCATTCCCTGATTTTTCTCATTACTCATTCAGTTCAGATGTTGTTACCTCAGAAAAGCCCCTGTGACTAACTTACCTCAAATAGCCCAAACCCACTCATCAGAGACTGAGCTAGGCCCCCCACATGACAAGCCATCAGCGCATGTAACAGTACATTTTTCTCTGTGATCGATCCATGTCAATTACATGTTGGGCTTCAACAGAGAATAGCTGAGACTCTGTCAGCTGTGGTCTGGACTTTCTAATGCCTTCTGGGTGAATATTAGGATTTGTCCATAAACACACACACACATACATACACCAGAGAGACACCAAACAAACCTCAGGCAGAGGTTTATCTAAATCCAGAGTTTTGGAAATGTCTCAACATTATTTGCATGAATCAATCTACTGTCTATTTATTACCGATCTGTCTATCATGATCATCATCATCATCATCTACCTATATCTATACACATACATAGATATGCAGTGAAAGGTATCTTTTTATTAAAATATTGAACACAACATCTCAGTCTGAAGTGCGTGAGTTTAAGTGACTTGGTGGCATGTTCACGGTGTGTTTCACATGGCGTATGTTGTTTGGTAACAAAGCATTTCTTTGGTTGTTTTCTTAATCACATGTCTTAGAAATCTCTCCTTATTAGTTAGTTCATTTATGTCTCTCCTTATGCATTACATAAGGGTTTCAGTAGACTAGACTCTAAGAAGTCTGACGGCAAGGCTATGGAGTCTGTGATTTTTTTTATTTTAGTATAAACTTTCCTCCAAAAGTAGCTGAACTAATTTGCAATCCCATTAACAGTGTATAATATTTCTCATTGTCTTCCCTAATGTTTAATGTAAACATTTTTTGCAATCCCATAGATGCTTAATGTCATTTTTTTCTAGCCTTATTAAAGGTCCAGCTTGCACCAAAGATAAATATATAAATAGATATCACACACACACACACACACACACAAACACATCATATATAGATGTTCATTCAGATGAAAACTCACAACATTATTATTAACTATGTGATATTTTAATTGCTTTTTTATAATGAGCACTTTAATACAAATCATTTTCCTACTCTTTAGTCAGTATTCTAAATCCCAGTTTCAGTCATGAATTTAAAAATGTAAATATGTATCCAAATCAAGATATTAAGAAGTCTGAACATCACCCTCGTTCCTTTTGATCCTTACTCTCCTGGACCTTCTCATATGAGATGTGGAAATCTGAGTTGGATCTAAGGATATGTGAGAGGGTGAGGGAAGGTGACTAGAAATTGCTCATCAGAGAAAGTTACAGAGCAAAGAAGAAAGAGGTCAAACCAATTATTTCTCTCCATTACTGAGAATTTATGATATGAAGTGGGAGACAATTAAGCCTAACCCATTATACATTCAATAAATATTTGCCTACTATATGGTAAGGACTTGGTATACGTGTGAGTGAAATAATTATTTGCTCTCATGGAGTATTCAGCCTAGTGGAAAAGACATAAATAACAAATTATCACAAATGGTGAAGGGTGTGAAGGAAACAAATGGGGATGACATAGACAAGGGTGAGGCTACATGATCGTGCTAGAGTTTCAAGAAGGCCTTGCAGAGAGCTAAAACACAAAAAGATTCTCTCCAGGAAAAATTAGAGGGAAAGCATTCCCAATGGAAATGATAACATTTTTACCGACCCTAAAATGTGATAGACTGAGAGAGCCTGATGAGAAGGGAGGCAGTGGAATCAGGTGAGGGAGTAGGGAGGGACACAGGCCAGGTATAGGTACCAATACCTTATGAGAATAAGCTAAGAGATCACTTTGTAGTGTGTACACATGTTGAATTGTAATGTCCATATTTGCAATGCATATAATGTTATATATCAATTTTCCCTCAATAGAAAGAGAGCATGCATGTGCATGAGACAGAGTAGGAGGGAAAAGGGAGAGAGGAAGTAAAGAAGTAAGGAAAGGAAGAAAGAAGGAAGGAAGCAAGGAAGGAAGCAAGGAAGGAAGGGAGGGAAGAAGGGAGGAAGGGAAGAAGGGAAGAAGAAAAAGTTAAGCAAAAATGTAAATGTTCTGTCCCGCCAGAGCAGAGGAGAGTTGAAGAGAGATTTTGGAGAGCCAAACTGCTGCTTTCCACGGCACGTGTCAGATGAGAGAACGCATTGCTTTGTACATATCATGCCTCTACAATGATATTCACTGCAGTGAGATGTTACCTACTTTTAGAAATACATGAACATGTATTGAATAAAATATATATATTTGATTCCATTTCTGGCATATCATGGGTCCATAATAACTGTGAATTAAAATGGAATTTATCTTTTAATTCTCCTCAAATATTTCCCATTTTTTCCCATTAATGGCTTTTTATTCACTTGATATATGGTCTTCAAATATAGTATGTTTTTAATAAATCAACAACACAAATATGTTTTTAAAGTAAAACTTGCATCCTTTTCTTTAAAAACTGATCGAGCAATAATAATGTCAGTGACAGTGTTAATGCAATAATGAATATTAACGCCAAAATAAAGATTAAATTGCCATTTGAATTTATATTAATCCCTCAATGCAAGTAGTTACTTCTAATACAAACAACTACTAATAAGCCAATACCATGAGAAGGTAAGCAATTGCTCCTTTTTATCTGTAAAGTTTATTTGGTACAAAAAAGTCTTATTCTTGATATTTCATTACTATCGGTCATGTTAATTACAGTTAATTTCTATCATTTTAATGCAGGATTGTGGTTTGCTGATTCACCCAGAGGAAGCCTGTGGGTTACAGCCTGTTTCCTCTGACTACATTGAAGCCATTTCACAGCCTGAACTAAAGATCTGTCCATCCGGCGACACAAAAGGTGACTATTACCTCAGATATCACTTCACTTAAAAAAAAATTCTTTGATATTTTTTTTTAAGTATATGCTTAAAAAAACTCATATGCATGAGTATATGCTTATTTAAACTATCCTTATACAAAAAAAATCAAGGTACTATAGGACTTTTTCATTAGTATGAACTGTAACACATGTAATTCATGCATTATCTTAAGATGTGAAATTTTTTGATTAATCAGTTGCTTTTCTCTTCACCCTCTGCTTTTTGCCTCGTGAATCCATATTCATCTACAGATATCAGCCGAAAAGTTACTTGTACCAGAAAGCCTTTCTTAAGCCTCTGATTTGTTTCTTTATTATACATTTTCATAGTACTCTGTGCTTTTCTTCCATGCCAGTTTCCACAAATATTTCAATGCTAAGTATGTAATTAATTCTTTGATGTCAGTCTTCCCAGATTGTCAACTGCACAAGGACAGAGAGTCTGACTTGTTCACACTATCAATTCACTTAGCACTATAATTTCTACATGGTGCGTAGATTATGTGAGCCAAAGAACTGCCTAGTTTTAAATCATTTACTTTAATTGAAAAATAATCCAAGAGAATGATGGCTCATGTCTCGCATATATTGAGCATTAATAGAAGCAGGAGAATCACAATGCAAAATTGGAACTACAGTGTTGAATGCTGCTTGATTCTAGAACAGACCTGGAATGAGACATCTTGGTCCACTGTCCACTTTCCCTGTATCTCTCCTTCCTCAGCCCTCTTCTTTCAGTGGAGACTAGTGGGAGCAGTCCAAAGGTGGGGACCAAAAATGCCTCCAAAATGATAAGAGGAACAGGGAGTATCTTCTCTGAGATTCCTAGTTGCCCATCTGGCCTCATGACCCCAAGTCTCCCTTCATCTAAAAAGTCTAAGAAAACACTCAGGAGCTTTTCTACCCTTGCCGTGAACTTCACACCACAACTTGAATGGGAAATGAGTTTCACAAATGAGCAGTACAAATTGCAATTTGGCATGCACAGTTAACAAGCGTGGGCATATCCCTGTTCTTGAACATGTGTTATAAATAATAAATTACAGTCGCTGCATAGGGAGGGATTTACCCATTATGACATGTCAGGTGGTATGATTTATGATTCTCAGCTAAATGAGATATATACTCTCACATACAAAGGAGACACCCATGTGTCTAGTTTAGGATTTTTTTTATCGGATGACATTTTATGAGAATCATAAAACAACTTAATTCTGTTCCTCCTATTGAACCAAGTCAAAAGTTCATCAACATAAAGTTGAAGATACGGTACTGAGATTCCTCAAGAAGTAGTATCTTTTTCTGTTCATTAAATTTGCTGTAACTTTTGCCAGGCCCTGTCATGAAGCTGTCTCCATGCCTGGTCCTTAACAGGAGAGGCTGCCTTTGAATAGGGACCTTCTGGTCACTTGAGTAGCCAGACTTCTTTAGAGAAGACCCCAAAGTTGACTCCCCAGTCAAGCCCATGTCCCTTAGCCTGACAATACCAGGCCTTGTAATCTGACCCTTCTAGGCCCCCATAATCTGGCCCTTCCTCTCCCCCACCTCCTCCCAGTCTCCTGGTTTCACTTCAAGCCCATAATGCTGCTGCAGGGCTCCACACCCCTGTCCCTGCTGTCCTCTTCTCCTAAAAGTCTTCTCATCTTGGTCCAATTCTCCCGACGCTGTATTCTCCTCTCCAGGAAGCCTCTTCTTACCACCCCACCCTCTGATTAGCTTCTCTGCTGTGCTCTCAGAATACTTGAGGCACATGTCTACCATAGCACTTACTTCATTGTGTTTCAAGTGTTTAATTTCTCTCTCTTTCTCCAATCAGTAGTGTTCAAAGTGAATTGATGCATCTGAGTAAGGGGATGGAGTGGCATGGAAAAGTCTCCAAGATGAAGCCAGTAAAGATTAAAATATATACATTTATGTCTGTCTATCATTCTTATTTTTGTTGTATAACAAACAATACATCAATATAGGAGTATAGATACATACACGACAGTGGGTGTGTATTAATATAGTGAACGTGTCTTAGCAGTTAGTTTTTAACGATGACTGACCTAGATTGTATGTTTGTCCAGAGCAGAGATTGTCCATTAGTCATCATTCAGTGTCTAAGATGATTTAAAAATGATTGCTCAACTAAAGCCAAGATCCAAGCCCTCCTCCTTTCCACGGAAGACTGTGAGCAGTCAGGGCACAATCCACCAGGGGTACCTGCTCCACCCTTATGGTCCTAAAGATCTAAAGATTCCAAACAAAAGAGTGAGATCATGAAGAACAGTTTGCAAGAATGAATTTTTTGTTGCCAGAGATGATTTCCTCCCGTGATGGTGGGACTCCCTCCTGCTGAAAGAAGTTGTCAAGGTGGACAACATTGGGAGGAAGTTTATTTAGGAACTCCAACCTTAACTTGCATGGCCATAGATTAGTTCTGAAATCTTATTTTCACAGCACATTACAATTATTTAGCAGAACAGGATTTGTTTTTTCATCTTGCCAATGAAATGATGGTCTACATGTCTTTTCAATAACACTAGCTAATATCATTTTGCGTGACTTGTTTTTGTTTTTTTAAGTTGATTTTTAGCCTTTAGAAAATAATCTAACTATAAGACACAGCCTAAGAATAAAAGTTTTTGCTTAAGAAAGAGAAAATAATTCTAATCTGGAGAAAGAAGAAATTTATACAATGATTTTTGAATGCTAATTACCTTGGAGGAAAATAACTCCAAATGCATTTTATGATATATCAATAAAAAATTTTATCATATTTTATTTGTAGCAAGGGAATATGACAGCTTATACTTGAGTAGTTCTAATGTTGAAAATATGATGTATTTTTTTCTTCTTAAGTGAAAATTACTTTATTTTATAACAGTATAGAGTCAGGAATTAGTGCTATCTATATGATTTTACATCTCACTATGGCCCTAAGTCACAGAGTTGAATTTCTTTGTGTCAGCCAATCTGACTCATTTGATGGCTGAAATCTAACTTGCATTAAATATAAAGCTATAATTATAAACCAAATAACTTCTCCCAAAAGTGGTATTTATTCCTCAGAATGTCATTCCCTAAAACATATGTCATTCTCTATTTCAGAAATCACAGCTTTGATTCATTCAGTGTTTAAATATATAACATAGAATTTATGTCTCTCTTTTTGAAATTTTAGTTAAGAGCTGGTATCATTTAAAATATCAAGAAACTCTAGTCTTGCAGATGTTATACAGATGTCTAATTCAAGCAGTGTTACTAAATCACAATAAAAAAAGGGGGAGACATTTTAAACCAATACAAAAATGCAAAGAGTTATGACTGTATAAATATATAGTAGTATGAACCATTGGGGCCAAGATTTCAGAGACCCAATCAGGAGTCCTTTTGAAGTGCATGAGATTTTATGCCCACAAACTAATGGTACCCATATTTGGATTTTTGTGCATGCAATTGGCCACTTATTTCTTCAGCTTTAGAAACAAATGGCCAAAGAAGACCTCAGCTTGTACAAAATTAGCTGTCAGCAAGGTTAGAGGGGGAGAGAATGTCTGGAGAGAGGATGTGTGTGCCCTTAAGTACTCAAGGATCTGATGAAAACAGAGACCTTCAAAATATTAAATACAATCTCATTAGCAGAAACACATTTATGTCCCTAACATACCACCATCCTATTAGAAAGAAAATTAACAATCTTTTTTTAAACATCGTTTCCATCAACACATGAACCCACTAACTAAATTCAGCTTTGTAAAATAAGGAAATTCATTAAAACAACCTGTATGTGGGCTTCCCTATAAGTGCTACCAAAGAGACCGTTGGGCCATATTTCATTTTCAACTGATGATTTTGTGCTGACCTAGCCGAACATGACAAAAGGATCAGAAAATTGGAGACTCCAAGACCTCAGTCTTGGGCCAACCTGTCGTTAACAGCATCATCCCATTTCTATCATTTAATTCTTGGGACCTCAGTTTACCTCATCTGGAAGAGAGGAGGGTGGACACAAGATCTAAAGCCAATTCTAACTCCATTCAAGAGGATGCCTACTGGACACAAATCTTCGTGAAGATGTGAAGATCTGAAGGAATTGGTTATTGATTACAAACCCTGTGTTCCAGGGCACAGTTAGAATTAGAAGCAAGTTATATTCTAAATGAAAACCACGGAAAAATTACAAGATGGAAGTGGATGGAGAAACAAGCATTTTTGAGGATAGTCTTCATTTTGTCATTCAAAACCCAGCACCTCTCCATCCCCTAGTAGCACTGCTGGAAATGCCTTTTACTGAGCAGACCTTTTTCTCTCCTATGTATAATCTTTTGTGGAGGCCACTTACTTCTTCAGTCCCTATTGTCAGGGCTGACTTGTCAACTGACCCCAAAGTAATATCCATTCCATTTTTCCAAATCTTATCTATCCAGAAGACTTGATTACATTACACAGGCTCCGTGACAATTCTGACCTCCATGATGCTTTCTTTATTCTGAACTACCATGGCTCACTTAAGGTGGGGGTGGAGGAGTAACATATAGTCACTCATTGCTGGGTAGCTGGCACTCTGGCAGGTGCCATATATATATTTTCCTCATAGAGAGAATATTAAGTAATTTTTTCAAGTTAAACAGTGGTTCGCAACTGTGGCTGCATATTGGAATCACCTGAAAGACATTTAAAAAACACCGCTCCCTGAGTTCCATACCCAGTGGTTCTGATTAAATTGGTCCAACATATGATCTGAGCATGGGGATTTTAAAAAGCTTTTTAGGTGACTCTAACACGCAGTGTTAAGGTCCACAGAGCGAGCTGGAGGCAGAGCTCAGGTGTGTGTTTGTCTCTAGAGCCCAGATTCTTTCGTATCACACAGATATTTTTACTCAACTATGCCTTTTCTTATGTTGTCACTATTTTACATGTATAAATTGTAACTCTCTAACCTGATTATAAATTTTTGAGGTCTGGCATTGTAGTTAAGAGGCTTAAATATGTTAATATATGAAAGTGCTCAGAATATCCCCAACCTCTGGCAGGTGCTATGAAACATTAACTATTTTTTTTAATTATTATATTTTAACATCAACAGCACCTACCATCTTGTAGGGTAGATACTTCAATAATACATTAGGTTAAGATCCTCCCAGAGAGTACTATTTTCTTTCAAATCACCCAGTTCTCTCTTAATATACCCACACATTTTCTTTCCTTTTCTGTGATCAACTAGCAGGCCATAACTAAACCTCCTCTCATATTTTATTATTTCTAACTATTTCCACAAACATTCACACAATTCTGACATCCTTGAGGTCACGTAATGTAAGTGCACTGTATTCATTGCCCAAAAGTAGAGAGATTCTTCCCACTAATGTCACACCAGATACTTTTGTTAGCAGAACCACAAATCAAGGCCAGAATGGACAAAGTTGTTCATTTTTTTTTTCTTTATAACTCAAAAAGTAGCTGGGAATATTTGGCTCCTCGATGTTTTCAAGAGAAACATCTAGTGGTAACATAAGCAAGACCTTTAGGGTAGAGCATGTGATTGTTGGAGACATCAGGCATTCTCCACAAAAGATATAAATAACCACTCTGTATTCAGTGTTCTGGTTCAAACTCCATTTCTGAAAAGATGAAGAAGGAAAAAACAAAAAGAATCATTTCTTGATTTTTTTCTAATTGTTAATCAACTCACACTAAAAGCTGAAGCATTTTGAATACATAACTTTACCACTAAAGTCGAAAAGATCTTAATGCATTGAGAATATCCATTTACTTATAAACATTTACTAAAGCTTGTGACCTACTTTGTGTCTGAAGTCAGCTAGTACCAAAGATAAATATGATATTGTAATTATGCTGGGTATATTAAATGCATTATCTCACTCAATCTTCCCATCAACCGTGTGAGAAGAACAGTACATACCTCATCTAAGATCTGAAGAAATGAAGGCAACAAGACTAGTAAGAGCTGAAGAGATTCACACTAAAAAGGTCACCGATCAAATTAAAAGCAATAACTAGTTTTCAAAATAGCAAATTATCAGTATATTGAAGTAATTCTCTTATGCCTTGACCTTCTTGAAAGCAGGGAATAGATCTTTTTTGGATTGCTAAGCCAAGCATGTATTAGGCTAATAAAGATTAGTGGTCAATTGCCTCAATGTCAGTGACTTCCCATCTACTTTGTTTCTATTAAGTGCCTAGAGTACTATTTAAAAATAAGTAAAAATTGCATAGTACCCAATCACTTAGTTTTTTGTAAGGATGCAGTTTCACAGAGCAGGACCATACTTGACTTCAGCATGGACTGTGTTCTTCCAGAACATTTGTACCTGTTGCAGTTCTGTTTGCTTGGCAGGGGGGCATGTGTCGCTCCACAGATTTATGCAAGAGTAGTCTTCTCACTGTGATATTTATAATGCTGTTCCATAACTGAATTCTAAAGTAGCTTGCAAGCTGTAATTTCACTAGTAGAATCTGAACAAAGGTTTTGCTGTCTATTCCAGGCCAGTGGATCGTGCCTTGCCTTAGCTGCTCAGACAACAGGACCTGTGACTGGAGAGAGATAACATGGCAGCCTCAGAACTGCCAATACGGTGTTCTAACTAAGCCTCAACTCCAGCGGTGCCTGGGGGGAAGGAAGGTAGGTTCCGGATCTGGCAGGGCAAGCCTTTAATTTCCCACACCTGCATCACCAAAAGCCACACTGTTGTATTCAGCAGACCAATTCCCGCTCTCCTCCTTTGCAGAGGATAACTAATTGAAGGCAGTTTGGCTCTTGGAATCATGGGTAAATGTTATCGTAGGAGAGCCTTAATGATTCTTGCTCAGAATGCTCAATTATTTCCAAATAAGTCTACTTGACAGATGGAGGATATTAAAGTCATGTCCTGTGCTGACCCAATTCCATGCTGGTTTTTCTCAGCACAAGTTGGTAAGCGCTTGCCACGTCAGCTGACAGATGGCAGTTCAGAGCAGCTGGCCCAGTCAGCTGCAGCTCTCGCAGGGCGCTGCGGTGACGGCGGACGGCCGCAGCTCGCTTGCGCAGGCACTAAATTGTTCTTGCATGTAAGACTCACTTCTGTCGCAGCTTACTGAGTGCATGACACACTAACCTTCCTGATCTTCTTTCACATTCCCGGGCAGGTCTCAAACGGACCTCACTAGGCTGCCTTTCCTTTAGTGAGGCTTCTAAGCTGATTGTTGGACATGCAGTGTCTTCTTATAGGCGCGCTCTGAGTAGGTAGATTCCGGCAGAGCCCTTGGACGTGCGAACTGGGCACATAGACTGAGATGCTTGATTAACGTGAAGTAAGTAATTCTTACCCAGATCTTCAAAGTACTTTTTATTAGCTGGACATTTCCTTACAAACTGTTTGTAAGCTCTCACATATGGGAAGACTGACTTCCAAATTGATTTTTTTTTTTTAAGTTCTATTAATGCAAAAGGAAAAGAGCACTGGAACGAATGTATGCCAGTTTTGCAGATTAGGCCTATGTTCAGACTTTCTATTAGCAAATAATTTAAAAAGAATGACGGGGGTGAGGGGCAGGACCGGCGGATGGACATCTTCACGGTGATTCCAATGCAAGTACACCAATTTTCATGACTGAGAGTATCTCTAAAGATAAAGCATTAGTATTAGTTACTTTTAAAAAGGAAAAAGGGCGGAGGGGGGTACCTGGGTGGTTTAGTTGGTTAAGCGACTGACTTCACCTCTGGTCATGAGCTCATGGTTCTTGAGTTCGAACCCCGCGTCAGGCTCTGTGCTGACAACTCGGAACCTGAGGCCTGCTACAGATTCCCTGTCTCCCTCTCTCTCTCTCTGCCCCTCCCCTGTTCATGTACTGTCTCTTTCTCAAAAATAAATAAGCATTTCTTAAAAATTTTTAAAATAAAAAGGAAAGAGAAGAAACCCAACATTTAGACATTTATTGTCAGTTAATATTATTATTAACTGAGAGTTGATTGCGTGCAGGGAACTGTGTGCTGCTAATTTTCATACCTTACATCTGACCAAACTGTAAGCTTCATGAGGACAAGGAACATGTCTGAATCACTGACAACCGCTCTGCCTAGCACAACTTTTTAATATGTAATAGTCACTTAACAGGTATTTGTAAACAAATAGGTTAAAATCTGTTTATTTCAAATCACAAATCTGTGAGGTAGATATTGTATCTGTTTTCTACTTAAGAAATTTAAAGCTCAGAGAGGTTGAGTAATTATTCCATGATCACACATGTATGTGTGGCCACTACTCTGGCATTTTTAACTGCCAACTTCGATAACTCAACATCCACATCTTAGAAATGCAGGGCTGGAAGCAATGAAAATAGTTGTTGCTGTAACAGTCAGATTTCTCTAAACTTTTCCAGAATACTGTTCCGACCTCAGAATTTAGAACACTCAGGAAAATTCCAAGATGTCACAGTCTATTAACCTGAAAGGCAGTAGATGTTCATTTAAGTTCATAACTAAATTCCATGGCTTTTGACATGACACATATTGTTTCCTGGGCTCATTTTCTTCCTCTGTAAAAGAAAAGAAGCCTACATGATCTAATCCTATGCTGTAGATTAATCATCTTTGGAGAAAGCTAAAAGCCTTTCTCCTTGTCTTAAAATATCATAGACTGGGTGGCTTAAGCACAGATGTTCATATCCCATAGTTCTGGAGGCTGAGATATCTGAGACCTGGAGGCCAGCAGGGGTGGGTTCTGATGAGAGTTTCTTCCTAGCTTCCTTCCATTGGCTGCCTTTCTGCTGTCCTCACAGGGCAGAGAGCTCTAGTCTCCTCTTCTTCCAAGGACACTAATCCCATCATGGAGGCCCCACCCGCATGTCCTCATCTAAACCTAATTACCTTACAAATGTTCCACCTCCTAATACCATCACTCAAAGGGGTAGGATTTCGGCACATAAATAAACTGGTAGCAGGGCGGGGAGGGGGGTGGTAGAGACAAATGATAAGTCTTTGCTAATTTCAAGGTTGATTATTACTACAAAGTAATGATAAGAAAAAAAGGAAGATCCCTTTTTCTGCCTGTTTGGGAGAGAGAACAGTTGCAGACTCTGAAAATAAACCCGATGTGCAGATTAGGTGCTCCTGGCAGAGACCAGCTGGCTGGCTGCTTAGCAGTGAGGGCTTCTCTTAGAGATTCTCTTAGTCCCGAGGCCCCATTCAGACCTTCGTGCTCAGAACTCCAATTCATGAGTACACTGGCTTGGTTCTCAGAGTCTGACTTGTTTACCAGGATGCTAACGTATTCCATGCACAACAAGGGAGCATTGTACATTCTTAGCAGAGGAGTGACACAGCCAGAATTAGAAACATCATTCTGCAGCAGTATGGAGACTGCCTATGGGGAGGAGGAAACAGGTGCTAGGGAAGCAGAGGCTGTTTCATGGAAAAATTCCATCATGCAACATTGACAAGTCAAAGAAAGTATAGATTCTAAGTATAGATTTCTAAAGAAGTACTGATTTAAAGATAGTATATATTCTATAGTATATGTAGAGAATAGTGCCACTGATGTAAAAACTAATACACACTTGCAAAAATGCCTATATACACAGAAAATTTGGGGGAATAACACAGTTAAGAATGATTACATAGGAGTGCACCTGAGTGGCTCAGTCAGTTGAGTGTCCGATTCTTGATTTTGGCTCAGGTCACAGTCATACGTCATGAGATCGAGACCTGTGAAAGGCTCAGCGCTGAACACAGAACATCTGGATCTCTGCCTCTCTCCCCAGCTCTGTCTCTCTCAACAACAACAACAACAAAATGAATGATTACATAAGTGAAGGAGAGTCAGAGAAGGACAGGGTGGTGCCGGGACCAGCTACATATTTTGCAAGACCCAGGGCAAAATGAAAATGCAGGAGCCTGCATTCAAAATTACTAAGATGCCCAAGAAGGCAACTGCAGAGCAATGGCACTAGCACAGACCCTCCCGCTGCACAGACTCCGTGCAACACCCAGGCCACATGCCCATGAAGCCAGCTCAGGTAGCAGAACATGTTTGGTGAAGGATGAAGAGGTCTTTTAAAATACCTGTCTGATTTTCTTTCTTTTTTTTTTTTTTTACAATGTGTACATATTTTTTAATCAAAAAATCTCTGTTTTAGAATTTAAATCAGAACTAGGGCAGAGGCAGTGGAAATGCAAAGGAGAGAGACCCTGAGAAAGAAATTTTATGTTCACGAGCATAGCATCTGGTAATAAAGAGACAAACGCATGCCCACATACTCTACCCAGCACAGACATAACTGCAAGAACACTCACAGTTATCACTATCAAATAGCACTTATTTTAAGAAGACTCTATTTGTGCATAGAAGTACATTAGCAAAAAGTTTTCCCAGTACATTGATTTCTCATTCTTCATGAGAAAAACTATAAATACACAAAGAATCTTGAAACTCTTTCATTACTAAACTAAGACAATGAATTCTCATCCTATCCAGAATTTTTTTCTCTATTCCAAAGATAAATACATGTTAAGGGATACCAATTATGCCTTAAAAAATAGAAAAACAAATAACATAAATATTTTGTTTTCTTAACACCTTATATACTGACATCTGGGGAGGCTCACTTTCTACTATGTCAAACATTCAAAAGAAGCACTTTATTTGAGTGACATTATACAGAAATGCACTTCACCCGTGCCTAAGGACAGCAAGGTCAGGGAGTGGTAGGAACTGCAGACCTACAATCAGGAAGCCTGCATTAACTATAGTTCCGATCCCATCCAAGTGATTTTGTATTCATCAGTTGCATCAGATTAACTCTCCTGCCCCACATCAGAAACCTTGCAATATCTGTTATCCCTAACACATTACCAGAGTAGAGTCTAGTCACGTGATTGCTTAAAGATAAGCTCACAATACTTTTTATATTTTTTGTGATGCTCCACTGTTCATTCACTCATCTAGCTTTTGTTGAGCTCAGAATCTGTTCACGGGACATACAAACGTGATCCTCCAAACAGCTAAATTTCTAGTAGAAGGAAACACATGAGAGAAGCAATTGTTTCAACATAGCATGATAACTGTAAAGGTAGAAGGAAGCTCAGAGGCTGGCACCTGACCTGTCCTCGAGGTTCTGGAAAAGTTTGTAAAAGGAAAGTGCCGACGCAAGGCAGTGGTGGTAGTTAATGGGCAATCTACCAAAGACATTACTTTGAAGTAGTTTAACTGAACTGGGGGAGAAAGAAAAAAGGATCTTCCTTTCTTCTCCTAAAAGAATCTGCAGGCAGGGGCACCTGGGTGCCTCAGTCAGTTAAGCATCTGACTCTCAGTTTTGGCTCAGGTTATGATTTCACAGTTTCTTGAGTTCGAGCCCCACATTAGGCTCTGTGCTGACAGTGTGGAGCCTGCTTGGGATCCTCTCTCTCTCTATCTCTCTCTCTGCCGCTCCTTTGCTCATGTTATCTCTCTTTCTCTCAAAATAAGTAAATTTTAAAAAGTTAAAAAAAAAAAGAAAAGAAAAAGAATCTGCAGGGAGAGTTCTATCACTCAAGCCTAGTGCCTTCTTTGATTTCTCTTGGATTGGAGAGAACAGGCGATGGGCAGAGGAGCCCAAGTTTCTCAGTTTTCAGTGTATTGCAACCTATGCTTCTTTGATCACATAAAT